GGGATGAGCCAATTTACCTTGTGGCAGACTTCACGGAATTACGGATTGGTACACATGGCCGAGGCTTTCTACCAAGCTTCCCGCGTCAGGTTTAAACTTGTCGTTCAGCGGCATTCGTTCACCTGGAAGGCACAAGCGAAAAAATGGAGTAGCGTTGCTGTTTCGGTTATCAGCGCGGAGTATTAGCAGGCCAGCTTGAAGACACAAAAAAGCATGTGAAATTGTTCTACATGCAGCGCGAACAGCTGTTGGATAAAGGGTATTCCACGCACCAACTACCTGAAATGGGAAAAACCGTTTCCAACATAAAAATGTGCACTCTGGACTTAAAAATCTTCTCAGCATGTCCTTTCAAATACATAAGAAGGATGGAGGGTGAAAAACATGTAAGCCAAAAACTGTTCAAGGAAGGCCCCTAGGGAGTGACGGTAGTTTGAGGGAGAGTCCAACCACCCCAAGACGTGTTTGATAATCAACGAATTGGAAGCTAGCAATCGTCTTCATAGCTGCCCGTTGGACACGCTCAGTGGGGGTAATGTCCATTTTGCGTCCTGAGTGGACAACTTGGTTCGCGTTTACAAGCAGCGGTTTCACGTAGGCCCTATAGAGTACCTGAAAGTTCATGCGAGTAATACGGGGAAAGGTACGCTAAATCATTTGTGGGATAGTAAATGCCTTTTGAGATGATTTTTCATGGTGGAGTGAGGACACGTTTGAATAAGGCCAGATACCTTAATCTCCTGGAGTACTATCATCATGCGCGACAAAAGGCATGTATACCCCGAACGACAATCGGATGCACTTTTCATCATCCAGAGGAAGGTGCCAGTCCAGTGACCACTGCTTTGCAGCGTCTGCATCCATTAGGAAGGCGCTGACGTTGGAACTCCAGGATTTCAAGTCGTTCGCAAGAAATATACATGAACTTGAAAGCACATCCGGAAAGTCGTCGACGTAGATCGGAGGCAGGAGTGGTCCCAAGATAGAGCGTTGGAGAATTCTAATGGAGACCGTTGAAGAAGAAAAAGAAGAGGAAGAAGAGGAAGTCAAGCCTATTTTGCACTCGAGATGTTCTATCCGGTAGGAACGTCTCAACGATTCAGTCTCCTTGAATACCATAAGACTCGAGTTTCCAAAGCAGCAGAACATGAGAACTCGCTCAAATGATTTTGATAGGTCGAAAAATATGGCCTCCAACATAAGTCCCTCGTCTCTGGCTTTCATTGAGCTGTCCACAAATGTAAGCACGTTCGTCACGCAGGAACGGTTTTGGAGGAATCTATGTTGCGCCGGAGACGTCAAGTTGTTGGCTGTGATGTGACTTAAAATGGTCTTTTTCAGAATGCGTTCCATCACTTTGCACGGTATGCAAGGCTACTGGACTTGTAGTTGTCGGGCAGTGAGCCTCCTTCCCAGTGGAAGAAAGGCTGTACTTGTCGAGCGACTGATGAAACGTCAGGCAGAAATATTTTGCGACGTCTCCGGGTGAGGTTTATTTTTGTGGCTTGTTTTCGCATGTTCCGTTGGCGGATTTTTTCGATCTTCAGTGGCTCCGCACCTTACGAAATGTCAGTCTATCTTTTGTGTCTATTGTAGTTATCTTTTTAAATAATGGTCAGAAACTCGTTTCCGGAAGATGCCGAATCATTTTGGGCGGCTTTTAGTTCGTTCAACTGCGCACTGGTTCCTTTGGGGCGAACACCGTATTCGCCCCGTGAATATGCTAGATAATAGTCCTGTAAGTCTCCTTCACTGAGGCTTGTCCCGGTTTAGGTTGGCCAAGGAAGATACACATTCCTGAGAAGTTGCACGGCAGGAGTTTCAAATCCACGTTTGAGGTTCCGGGATCTTGGCCCAGCAGCAGATGAAATAACAGGTAAGCACACAGTGGTCACTACATCCCAGTGGAGCCCTAATTAACACCTGTTCAACGAAGTGTCTTTTGTTGGTGATAGCCAAATCCAGCAAAAATGGTAGTTGGCCTGTGCGGTATCTGGCGAGTGCGACGACAGGTTGGGTCCAGGCGCTCTGTTGAACGACTCTGATCAGCACTGATAGAAAATGTTCACCAGACGCGATGCGCTGGGACTCCATCCAGGTGTTAGGAGCGTTAATATCACCCACCAGCAAAATGTGTGCTGAAGGAGAGTTGCTCAAGGGCGTATATGAAGAACAGGTTGTCTTTCGGCTGACTCGATATACAACGAACAGAGAATCGGTTCCACACAGCAGGATTCAAACCCACAGTGCATCACAAAAAGGTGCAGTAGTGGTGTCGGGGAGGACAATCGGGGCAGGCACAGTCACATGTAAGTATAGCGTAACCCTACCTGCTTACCTCGTTTCGAGTCAGCTCGGAAAACGAAGCAGCTGTTGATCAAGATCTCTGCCTTAGAGACGCCCGGTGTGAGCCAGGTTTCTGTAAGTGCGATTATGGATGGCAAACTGACCATTGAATATCCATAAGTGTATCCAAGGTTTATAATGGCTCATCAGTTATAGCCTGCCTCTTAGCTTGAGGCGTTGTACGAAGATTTGCCGTAAACATGCACTCCTTTGGTTCGCATGGTTCTTGGGGCGGTTTGTCTGTCAAGTTTTTCTGAGATCCTGTTGGGTCGATTGCGTTTGTACAGAAAACCAGTTCGTCCTCGATCAGCGTGGCTAACTCGGTGTACGTAGGAATTTTCGGTACACTAGTTTCGGACTGGGGGCCTCGGCCCTCGGGTTGACGACGACGGTTGAATGACGACTGAATCCAAAATCAGACAAGTCACTTTTGACGGAGTGGAGCCGGAGGGTAGAAGTTCCACAGTTCGAATGGTTGCTTGGCTCTCGCGGCAGTTCACGTCGTCCAGGTCAGAGCTTGTGGCTGATCCGTCGGTGGGCTGCACTGCCTGTTTCGGCACGGCTGACCAAATCCAGCTTAGAACCTGTGACTTGGGTGCGGACTTCACCACTGCGCCTTTATCGTCCGCTAGGCAAATAAGTGACGAAGATTCCACATATGTTGGACGCTCTATCTCCGAGAGGCTTGCTTCACCCCGAGCATCACTGTCGTTGGAAGTCGACAGGTCTGTGACGTTTGAGTGGAAGCTGCAATCTGGAGTAGCGGTCAGTTGCATCAGCATGCTTTTAGGAGTACAAGAATCCATAATTACCTTCGGGTTGGTCATAAGTTTCGGTTCGGCTGATATGTCGCCAGGCGGAAGCACGTTTCGTGTCTCCCCTCTAGAACCACCGTGACCCAGTTTTCGCAACTCTAGAGGGCAATCCTCGAACATACGCCTCATCTTCGGGAAATGACTTTTGAATGCTAATAACCCGTTCTAAGATCCTCACGGCAGTTGGGGGAAAATTGTGACTAGAAGCCCAAAATTTCGCTTGCATCCCCTCCTGCGAAACCATTCTGCGTTGAGAGATGAGTATTTACACCTTGTTACGAAACCACCAAGGAGCTCTTGTGCCAGTTCTGTTGGTGCGCTTGTTCTGGTAAATGACCCCAAGCTCATCGGCCTGGACTCCCTCATGATCTTATCCACTAGGGACGCCGTGGCCGTCTTGATTGCCGCGTCAGAGGGCTGCGTCACCTTCGCGGCCAGAGGGCCCGGGATGGAGAGTACTAGGTAGTCGCTCAGGGATGAAAGTTCGTTATCAACTTCCGTCCGACCCGCTATGTTACTTGTGTTTGCATCATTCGGAGCCTTCAGCAGAAGTATCAGTTTCTCCTCAAATGTCCCGGAATATGTCCTGGAATATTTACACTAGTCTTTCCGACCTGGAAGTGGGGACTTGGTCTCATCATTTGCAGATGTCTTGCTATCTGTGTAAAGCATAGCACCCCTAAGATAGAGTCACCATCACAGATAGCGGAGTCAAGAGAGTTGGATAATCAGATTACCTAGATTTTCTGTAAACCCGTACACTTTAAATGCCAACAAGCCAGGCAAGCGTGACTTTGTATTCGTCTTACATTCCATGGATGTCCATTTCGTCCACATCTGCTGTGGTTCACCAATAGGTGTAGAGTAGAGCAGCCTGTAATAGGCTGGTTTATTATTGAGTGACTGGGTACACCGCATAAATAAAATAAATAAATAAATGATTCTTCGGCAGTAGCCTAGCTGCCATACCACCCAGGGGAAGGACAAGGGCTGAGATACTGCCACGTCGCCAAAGCCTAGACAGGGGAAGTCGAGAGGCAGAGGTCGGGTTGGAAACACGGACCTTCCGGTAAGTAAATTCGCGCTTTAACCTCTTGAGCAGCTTCGCCCATCGCAGAATCAGAGTGCAGTCTGACAGAGATCTACACGCAAAGATTACATTAGAGCGTTTTTAGACGAGCAGTTTTGTTGTTTCGCTGTTTTTTCGTCAGATACTTCCTGGGGCATTTTATGCGTTCGTTGTACGTATCCTTTGCACATCTTTGTATCGTCTTTTGTTTGCATATACTGTTGTTGGTTACGCAAATCGCGGTGATCTGCCGGTGTTCGATCGTCCACCGGATAATCGAACTCATCCGTCCCGACGTGGTGGATCGCTGTTAAGAATTAGACCTTGCTATCGAACACTGTAGCGCGCGACCTCTACATTTTCATGTGCCCTTGACAGTACGAGGGTTTGGGTCATTCAACGCGTTGCTTTGAAATACCGCCCAGAGAAAAGTAGTTGAAGGTAAATCAATGCGGGCCAGTGTGCTGTGTAGTATATCTGCCATTTTCGTTTACTTATATGCAAGTGCTGATGATGTACAACTTTGCTTACTGGGTTTCAGCTCACGGATCTTTCTTCTGTCCTCCATCCACGGAAACTGTCATGAACTCCCTCCTTTGAACGGCCACTCCCCCGATTCTTCCATGACTTGTACACTACATAGTTGTCGAATACACTGGAATCGTTAAAAACATTGGTGGTTCTACCACAAAAACCCTGCCTCTGTACATGTGCATACAGGCTACAGAGCTGAGGCTGCCCAATTACACACGGCCCCCACAGCCTTGGACGGCAACTTCTACACCCTCACCAGCTTCACACACATCACTAGTATCGGCCAGTTCAAAAGGGCCATGGTACACCGCAGACGTTGTTCTTCAAAAAGAGGGCTGTTGTACTACACAGTGCCTCCTATTTTGGTTGATTTATTGATGTACGACATTGCTTACTGGGCTCCAGCTAATTAGCTTTCTTTCTGTCTTCCATCCACAGAAACTGTCGTCCACTCTCACCTTCGAGGAGTCACTTTCCCCTGGTGATTCCAGTGCGTGCTTACTACAGCT